CCTGGACTTGCAGAGAAGTCACAATGAGGTCAATTTACCCTATCTGCAATATGGGAATTATGGTTCTGGTTTAAAGTGCTCTGCAATCTACAGCTAATTGTGAATTATTGATTTCTTTGTTCCCTGCTCAAAAGAGCTTTTGCTTCCATTTACAAAGCATTTACTTCTTTTCTCAGATCAGTAAGTAATTTTTTAGCTCTACCCCAAATAAAATTAATTTTAAAATATTATTATATTAATTTTCATTTATTCAAACATGTGAATCATCTTATTAAATCTTTTGCAATGCTTTTCCAAAGCTTTTAAAGAAATATAATTTATCTGAAGAATCACTTTTTAACACAGTATTTCTATAAAACGTAATTTATTTCTTTAGATAGGACAAGGTAATATTTTCTTTCTGGCATCCCACTGACATTTTGACACTCTTCTGATTCCCTCTGTTCTTGGATAACAGAAAACAACACTTAAGAAATTACAGGGGATTTATTTACAGTGAGACATTCATCAGTGAGGTGGCAATAGACACTTTGGTACACATTGCAATCACATGAGCTTAAATAAATTTCCAAGCAGCTGTGATGCCTACTCTCTCCAGCTGCACTGCCCATGACTATTTTAAAGATCATTAACAATGCTCATGTAACAGCAGACTGTTACAATCTCCATGCAATGTAAAGGTTCCCTGACTAAACTAGCAATTTTCCATTACAACTCAAAATTGTTATTAATGGCAGGGATTTGCATATTTTAAAATATCCTTTTATGCTTAGTTTGCTTTCTAATGACTCAAAACGTGCAGTAATGACCCTTTGGATTGTGTTCTGCTTTCTTTCTGAATTAATCCTGACAGCTTTCTCACTGTAAGAAATCATTGATTTCATAGTAGTATTGCACAGATTTCAATCATAGTCTTGAATCTGCATTTAGTTGTCATGACTGCAGCTGAACACTCTTGAAATGTTTAAGCCCTTCTGCTATCTCAACACCTTTTTAGAAAAGCCACCTCCCAGTGCCCACCAGGAATTAGCCATCAAAGCAAAGGCAGTAAGCATGGTCTGGGGAATCACTGAAGCATCAATCAGGGAGCCTTTTTTCTCCTTTATTTGCCTGTTACCTAGGAAGAAACCCCTCTGTTTTTATGTTATTGATTCGTCCTTGATTGTTATCTCGATAAGTAGATTAAACATTAGCACTCTGCAGGGTCAGGCCACTCCTGCTGCTCATAATTTCCAGTTCTATTTCAAAGATACTGTCAGTTTGCCTCAAACTCACTAACACATGTGTTTCACTTTAAAACTGAATTCATCTCATACAGATGCAAATCGCCTTGTTGCCTCCCCAGGGATTGTGTGAATTGGCATCCCCCATCATAACCTCTCCAGCTTGTGTGTTCCCTTGGAGCAGCCACTTAAATTCCACCTTACACCTGCAATATTGGTCCCTTTAGGAAGAACTGCTTTCACTCCATGGGGATATGTCAGAATATAGCTGGTGGAAGCCAAAGGAGTCTTCGAAAAAAAGACTTATTATATTTGGATTTGAATAATAAGGGCTTCTCTGCAAGACTGCAGATTACCAAAAGTCCACTTAAACCAAAATCTCTTTAGCATTCAAATAATCATTTAGACAGGAACTCAGTCACCTAAAGAAACTCCTTTCCACTTCATCATCATTCTGGGAATCAAGCCCTGAGACTTTTCCAGAAGTCTACTGGTATAAGATTGGTGTAAGAGGAAAATCAGACTCAGAATTTTCATTTTTTTCCAGCTATTAAGTGCTTTTCAGTTAATTTCCTTTTTTTGCTATTAATACTGAAAAATGTCACTTCCTCAACCTTTTTCATTCCCCCCTTTTCCATTTGGGTAATGCAAATAGAAGTGTAAGACTCATGGCAGCATTACAGCAATGAAATCATATTATCACTGCCTTCAGTTTCCCCTTCCTGAGCACCCTGCTTCCCTACTAAGTTTGTACATATCTATTTTTTCTGAATATGGAACTGCTTTTTTTTAAATTAATTTTAAACAGAGCAATATTAAATCAAGCCTTTGCTTTCAAAGTTACTCACTGGATAGATCTCTTATTTATTAAAGCTCTTTAGCAGTTTAACTGACTGCCGGTAAAATTAAGGAGGGATGATTCAGGATTGGGTCATATCTAAACTTAGTCAGTTTAGTTGACTTACAGCATATTATTTTAAAGATTTTTTTTTAACTTGCATTTTTACAACATATCTTTGCTGTTGATGATTTGCTGTGGGAGCAGCACAGGTGTTTGACTTCTGCTTCATTGACACACAAGAACCATTTGCCACCTCCTCAGGCCAATTATCTCATGCACTTTCCATTTCAAAACCTACCAACCGAATTCATTTGCAAGGAAATAATCCTACATTAAAGGATGTCCCTTGAGTAAAGGCTACTTATTCTGTGTAAAGCAATGAAAAATCACAGTCCTTAAATTATAATGTTGGCATTTAAACTCTTCAGTTTCAGACTCCCAAGAGCTGTTTCCACCTTTTTGAGGTGGAAATAGTAATTTCTATTAAGATGTGACAGCATATTTCCATGGACAGTGTATCTCAGGGAATTTCTGAGAAATTTGTGCCAAACCTTATTTGGTGCAGTTGGTATTGGGAGACTCTCTGATGGTCAGTTCTCATGATTGCTCTGATAGAGAGTTATATTATTTTTTTCTTCTTTTTTTCTTATAGCAAACCCATCCTGATGGGATTTGCAGTGTATACTACCCAGAATTCTTGTGCCAATTTAAAATTCTCTGCTGCCATGTGAACAGAATAAACTGTAGCAATGGTATGCAGACAAATGTGGCCCTTTGTTTATTGCAATCACATAAATCTGTGTGAATTGATACTGGTGCAAAGGTCTCTGATGATCCTGAAAGAGAGAATTTGGGCAGGATATCAATCTCTTATGATCCCGAAATAATGCCATGAGATCTTTAACTTCCACTTGAACAAGCACTAAAGGCAGAGAGACGGAAACTTGGATTAACTTCTTAGCCAAGTGACACCTCTCGCAATGTTTTTGACCCTTACTTTAAAGCTGTCACCGGTTGCCTTGATTTATGGAAACACTATCCTTTTAAATCCTCCTCCCTCTTATCTCTGCAGGCAGTTTCCTGATTTGCTTTTCTTTCTCTTAGATCATCCATATTATTTCTTGACAGAGACTGTGTGGACAGCCACACTTTCGATAGTACTCAGAAAGAAAAATGATTCTCTGTTTTCCAGCTGAACAGAAAATATTACAAATGGTTTTAGTAGTTTCACTCAGAAGACTTCAAGACTTCTTGTTTCAGGTTACAGAAGGAAAAATAGTAATTTTTAAAAATGCAGAAAAATATCACTACAAAGTCATTTTCATCCTACTCTAATTTCACAAGCTAAGTTTCCCAGGAAAATCTGAAGTGTACCATAGTAACAGGATACCTTTTCCATCATTCCAAAGAGCTTTTGTCAGTAATAAAGAACCTGTCGGGCTAACACCGATTCACCAACAAAAATAAAAGCTGGCCCCAGCCCCAGAGATTTTGTCTTTACACTGGCACTGTACAAAACCATGACCATGAACAGGTCAGAGCATGGGCACACCAATATCCCTGTTATTTATCAGTTGCCATGATCCCTGCCACTGTTCTGCCTAGTGCCATTTTGTGTTATCCAGACAGCACCTGGGTGCAGTTCAAGGGACTGCACATGCCTCTTTCCCATGGGCAGTTTGGGTATTTTCATCCTGGTGTTCTTTGGAGAGAAGCAAGACCCAGAGTGTGGAGTCAGGCCATGCCATAGCATGGGGGGTCAGGGATCTTTGTCCTTTTTTACAACTCAGACACAGCCAGAGAGTCTGCAGCTGAAGCACAAGGAAAGTGGCAACAGGGGAAGACAGTGGAGAATCAGCCCAGGGGAAGGAAATTTTGTGAGGCTTCACCTGCAGAAACATTGTCTATATTGGCATAGCCTCAACTGTGTTTAAAAGGAACTTTTCTAGAATCTGTTGGTCAAGATGAAAGAAATAATGAAGCCTGGCTTAAATGTTGAGAATAGATAATAGGGTAAAATTGTTAAGTTTTGATTTTTAGGCAGAAATACACCATAGTTTTAAAAATAATGAAGAAGCTACCACTGGCCACACTGTTATTATACCCTGCCCATACCGGTGGCTTTCACAATTTCCTTTGGAGAAAGGACACTCAAGCTAATTCTGCTCTCATCCAAAAATAATGATGAGGTGGGACACAAATGAAGCAGAGCACATTTCTCCTACTCCAGTGGTGGCTGGTCTGCCTTGTGGAAGCCTGACCTTTCCCAGACTCTTTCAAAGTCATTCAAACACACCCCATAAAATGTTCAATACTCTCTATTATGTTAATTTTTCTGCCATGGGTTAGGAAAATCTAAAAAAAAAAATTGCCTGAAAGGTAATTTTGCAGAGAAGACTACTGTTAAATCAGTTACCATGCCTTACACTTGAGATTGACATCTCCTTTTTGACATTCCTTTGGTATGTGAGAAACCATATGTAGAAATAGACTTATAATATGGACAAGCAAGTTGTACTTGATGTCCTTCCTTCCTTCCCACAAAGGGAATAAAACCAGAAAAAAAGAGTACCAAATACTAAGTCAAATCTGTCACTTGAATTTAAACCAGTGGTCTCGACAGAGTAATAACTTGAATGACAAAACCATTAAGGAGAAGGATTAGATTTTCTCAATGTGAAAATAAATGTGAAATAAATCTACCTCCAGCAAAGTCACTTTCCTTGTGATATTAATATTGCAACATTCTTCTGCAAAGAGATTGAAACTGTCCCACCTTTATTTTACATGCAAAACAAAATAAATGGGGACTTGAGACCCTAAATCTCTAAGTGAATTCATACAGTTTTTTGTCTTTTTCTTTTTTTTTTCTTTTTTTTTATCATGGACTTAGAGTTCGTTTCTTTTTTTTTTTTTTTTTTTTTTTTTTTTTAAAGCTACTGTGGTGAAGAAGCAAACTGTAACATGAATGCCAGGACTGTCTGCAGCACCATCTCTTGCTAGCAATGTGGGTAAGATCACAAACAAACAGCACAGTCCCAGTAGGCTCCAAATAGCCTGAACTTCCACTCATTAAAGCTGGGCCTTAAAACAATACAATATGGCTTCCCCCAGAGATTTTTTTTCTGAGAAAAAAGAATAATACACTGAGTCTTTGACAATTTTTGCCGTGTCTTGAGACTTTTGTAATGAAGCAGGGAAAGTGCAGCATGATTTCATTATGTCTTGCCTATATACATTGTGAATATTGACTTTTTTGTCAATTAACATGTAAACATAGCTTGAAAAGTCCACACAGCTTTAATACATAATCAGCACAGTTGTTCAGACTGTGGGTATTTTAAGAACATTCCCAGATTGCAGATATCAGAAGCAGATAATTTTACTCAATATAATTATTGCAGCTTTCTTATATGACTTAAAATGTGCAAAGTTGAAGTTCTCTTTTTCCCAAAGTCAATTACCACAAAGCTATGGGAGAAAAACATTTTTTTCCACATGAAACCCAAGTTCTTAAGCTCTGTTCACACAGCTGGGCATGCAGAATCAGCAAAGCTCTTAAAAATTCCTCAGGGAATTAATGTGACTTAATGGCAGTGTAACAATGGGATAGGGCTTGTCACAGTCTTCCCAGTGACTTCCAAATGAAATAAAATGTAAAAAATAAATAAAATGAAAAAAATAACCATTCAGTGTTCTCTGACAGAAATAGTTGGAATGGTATTAAGCAGCAAATTTGTTCAGACCAAGACCATGACCCTTGCTGTGTTTATTGCGATGAGACCAGTGCCACAGTCATTGAAAGTGTAGTATGTGAAATTCCTTCATTGTTTCTGCACTAGTTTGTTCTGCTACAGTAGCTGAGGCAATTTAAAGGCCAACTCGTGGGAATTACTGCAGCATATACATTAAAAGTGAACTTTATGTTAATATCATAACCCAGTCTGATTTAGCAGCTCTTTAAGGCATAGTACAAGATGGTCCCTTGTCTCCTTTGAACTGAAGATATGTCTTTTCTTACTGTGGAGATGATTTTAAACTGATCACCAAGAGACATTTTGGCTGAGCATTTTACATAATTTTACAGTTCTTATAATCTTGATTCTTTTTTAATAGAGAAAAACTGGCTGGCCTTCTCATGTGAATCATTCTGGTGTTGGGAAAGGGAAAACAGCCAGTAAATGTTACATAAAAACAGGAGGGGAATTGAGCTACAGATGTACCCCAAAGCATCCAAACCAGTAAAACATATCACATATTATCCTTGAACACTGCAGCCTCTTCAGAGGTACTGGATTGCTTCTCCAAAGTCCTGTTTAACACATGATTGACATGAAAATGTCACCCCTGCCTGGTAGTGGATGTGACTGGCATCAGTGGAGGGCTCTCCTTTCGTCCCTCCAAGCCTGAGCACTGATAGGCCATCCTGTGCCTGTTATCTCTTTTCTGCTGTCAAAGCATCAGCCCTACCCCTGCTCACTTTGGGTTTCTGCTGCCTGTCACTCCAATCCTGAGTCACACAGCTCAGGGTTTTCTCTGTGCCACCCTTGTGTGTTGATGGACACAGCCAGTCTTTGTCTTCTTCTTCCAGACTTTCCTGCAGTCGTCTCAAGTGTGAGGACCACAAAAGACTTGATAGCAATTACTAAGCTGGCACAGATTGTGAGGGGGCTGTGAAAAGAGGAGACCTATAAATTGTTTATTTTAGTTCCACAACTGAATAAACAGGAGAGAGGGAGAAAAAGAAGGCAGGGTTTGACAGTGTGCAAGAGGTGAATCAGTTCAGGTCTGGAAAGGTCAAATATGGAAAACCTGTTCTTTTGTCCAGCAAGCCAACCTAAAAGACAGTCCTGAAAAAGCTGCTGCTGGAAAACAGCCTCATGCCATTCTGATTCAACATCCTGTCAGAATAAGCTATCAAACCCCAGGCAGGATTCAAGGCTTTTAGGACTTGACAGGATTTTAGGGTGAGGTTCAATGCATCACTCTGCTGACGATATTTCACCTACTTCATCCCACCTCGAAGAATGCCATAAGTGCAGCATTATGGTTCAGCTCTTTCACTTTATGTAGATTAAGATCCAAAAAATTGGAGCATAACTACCATTTCCCAAGTGAACACCCAAAAAAAAATGTGAGGGATAACTAGTGCTGATATTTTTATGTGGAATGATATATATTTAAATCAAAGTTCTCAAAGGAGAGACTGGAGGAACCTCCAACATTTCTGACATAAGATTGCCATACTCACTTGAAATCATACTTTGTTTTATTGAACAGTGACTCAGAGTGATGGGAGGATTGCTGTGGGAGGAGAAAGTTTTAAATTACCTTTTTGTTGTTAGAAACAAAATTTGATCCTGTGTTTTCCAAATTCTGCATTAATTCTATTATTATTAAGTAAAAATGAAGACATTGTTTCTGTTTCTCTTTAAGGCAGATTTAAGAAACTAGCGTTTTTCCTTCCAAACTCATAAAATTTCCTGGAAACAGAACTCAAGAGTGCTACTATTTCTCAAAAGAAAAAAAAAAGAAGAAGGAAAAAAAATATTCCAAATTACCCAGCTTTCTGAGTAAATCTTATTTTTAGATTTAATCTAACCTAACCTAATCCAAGCTTCTCAAGTTTCTCAGATGCACCACACAGTTCAGGGTCTCATTATTGTGTTCACACATGCGTATTTTGCCATTTATTTATTCTGAAAATTCTCTTCATCTTCTAATTATTATTGTAGCTATTGATGTATGGGCTTACTGATACAGTGAGACAATAATTCTTGATGGAAGGCACACGAGGATTTTTTGGGAATGCAAGAAGGGAGAAATCTGAAGAAGCCCTATCAGTGAGTGACAAAGTATATTTTGGGTAGAGGATATTGCTTTTATTGCCTGGTGACACCACAGTCAGACTGTGCTGCACTGCATCTGCTATGATATACTTTGTTTGAAGAAATACAGTTCCTATGGTACAGTGTTTCCTAAAGCCAAAATTGAATATACATGTAGAATTCACTTGGAGAGAAGCTGAAAAAAAAACAAACCCTGCAATAAATAGGTGTTCCTAGATTAAATGCTTGAACTGCTTATTTTGGAGATCACTTCTCAAACTAACATAAATGCAGGTCATGTTTTCCAAAGAGCAACAGTCTTGACCTCTGTTGGCTGGGTCATAAAATTGTTGTGGGAGGCTATTGTGGAGCACGTTCTTTAGGTGAATGTGTTTCAGTTTAGGTCATTGGACTCTGAGATAAAACCTCTCCTCTGGCAGTTTCTAAAGGATTGGACTCTTCAGAAAGTCCGTGCAAGCCCGGGATAAAAATAAAAAAAACAAACGCCTGTAGAAAGGCATTGGTCATGAATTAAGAATCTCTTTTCCAATCAATTCTTTTTTGAGGGGTAGAAAGGGAGGCAGGGGCAGAGAGAGAGGGAAGCTTACTTGGGAGGAAGGGAGGCAACAGAGCTAAAGGATGACTTATGAATAATAATTTCTTTTGTTGTCATGACATTTTATTGCATTTGGCACCAAATGGCTGTGTCGTTACAGGAATTTATGTTCATGCCTCATTCAAATGGGGAAAAAAGAAATTAACAATTTGTTTCTAAAATAAAAAGCAAATTTAGGAACATATGCAAGGAAAATTACCTCTTTCATTTAGTCCAGCTTTAATAATGTGTAAAAGTAGGAACTTACTGTCCACCTGGTTTGGTCAAATTCTGTTTGGTTGTCCTTGGGCTTTGTAGTTAATCAAGCAGAGGAAGAAATCTGCTAGCTGTGTTCAAAACTGAAAAAACGTGGATAAGATTTTAAAAGATTGGTGTGATTCCAGAGACCATGTCAGTCAAGTCTTTGGTTATGGTTTTCAAATTAATTACAACAATTATCCATCACAATCAGAAATCATCTAAAGACTCCCTGAGACTTAAGCACTGGGCAGGCTGTGTTAGATTATATACACAGACTTGAAGAGCTCATCAAGTGACACCAGTGTCTGTGGAGCCTGGGGTGAGAGAACAGGACATCCCACCTCTGTCTAAACTGCACGTTGAATTTGCCTCTTTTCTGCCTTGTCTCAGAGGTGGGCCTGTCCAGTGCCTCCACATAATTCCTCTGAAGCTCCTAAGTTGCTTTCAAAGCTGAATGACAACAACACTTGCCCTAAAGAGAGCTGGAGTTGGGGTTTGCTGAACCAAAGTTCAATCTCTGTGGGTGTTCTCCCAGTTAGACACTTGTGTGCCCATGGCAACTGACTTCTCGTGATGTCCACTTTGTGGTGTTGTTCTTGGATGGCTGGAATAGAGAATGCTTTTACAGCTATTTGCTTCACTTGACTGAGGATGGAATGGTTCCAGTTGTGTAAATAACTGCTGGTGCTCTTCCAGCTTTTCTGCTCACTACCCCACGGAGATGCATTTGCTTAAGCAGGGCATAGTAGGAGAAGAAGCTCTGCTGGATTCCTCCTCACAAACCTTGCAGCACATCTCAGGCCTGACCTTCAGACTCTCTCTCAGTACAGCCCATGACCTCTCCTGGAACAGAAATAGCCAGTTCTGCCACATTAAGTCATGGTTTTGTCTAATAGAAATTAAGGGGAATAACTTAACCCATGTGACTCTTGGTAGGACTTGGGCCTCCAGAGACAATCAGTGAATTTCCCAATCAGCTACACATTTGTCTATCCTTATATGAATCCCATGAGATAACAGTTGCACGGAAAGGAATATTATCTAATTAACACATGCAGTTGGAATCTGATCTTCCCTTTTCCTCTGGACTATCCCAGCTGAAACTGCACTCACATCACTACAGGATTTATGAGGATTACACAAAGTGCTTTTTCCCATACACATGGTGAGTATGAGTTTCATCCATCAATGCAAGCTTGCATAAGCCCTATGAATGAAGGGTTAGATGTGACTTTGAAATCCTATCTTAAGTGGCAGAAAAAATGGAAAGTGCAGAGAATATAACATACAATGTGTGGATATGATTTTTTTTCCCATCTATAGCTGT